TGATGTATTTCGAATATTCAAAATTCTTTTTAGATATTTGATTATTCGAAAAGGGGGGTTAATGATTGGAAACACTATGTTTTACAACCTCCTATAGATCGGTGGGAAATGTCCTGTGACTGTTATAGAAAAATTTGGTTTTGAAAATTTATCCATTAAACCCCTAAATCCGTTAAATTGAGGTCCGTTAAATCGAGACCCACTGTGTAGTACATATTGTTCCCTAAAATTAAAGATGAAAAATACACTGACGTTGAAAGATAAAAAGAGAAATATGTGTTCTAAAACAATCAAATCCTACTCCAACGAATAGAGACCTTGCTATTCGTTTTAAAATTCGTGAAAATACTGTTTGTGACATATTAAAACGAAAGTCAGAATATCTTGCTATTAATCCAGAAGATCCCAATTCACATAATAAACATTTACGCAAAGGAAAATATTCAGGTCTAGAAGATGCATTAATTCTTTGGACAACACAAATGCTTAAAGCAAATTTAACTATTAATGGTTCTGTATTACAATCAAAAGCAATACGTTTTGTGGAATTGTTAGGTTTCCGAGATTTTAAAGCATCAGGCGGATGGCTAAGTAATTTTAAAAAAACATAATTTTTCTCAATATAGTAAAGCTGGCGAAGCTAATAGTACACCATTAGAATTATTACCATCTGAACGTGATCGATTACAAAATATTATTTCACATTATGATTTGTACAACTGTGATGAAACCAGTAAATAATTTTATTTACAAACGGTATTTAATGAAAAATTTTAAATTTAACATTATACTAGCTCTATATTGGCAATTAGAACCATCCAAGACCTTGGCATAGGGACCTATATCAGGTATCGAAAAATCGAAAAATCACATTACAGTTCTATTAACATGTAATGCTACAGATAATGATTACATCAAGCCATTAATTATTCATAAATATAAAAATCCTCATGCATTAAATGGAAAACAAAGAGAAGACTTTCCGGTAGAATATTATTGGAACTTGACTGCCTGGATGCAATTATCAGTATGGCATGACTATTTAAAAAAACTTGATACATCTATGCAACAAAAAACAAAAAAATTCTACTTTTGGTGGATAATGCACCAACTCATTCAAATTGTGACCTTAATTTAACACATGTTACAATTGAATATTTATTACCAAACACAACTACACATCTCCAGCCACTTGACGCAGGAATAATTAATTCATTTAAGGTTTTTTTAATCTTATTATTATGTAGTTGGGAAATAAAAATAAAAAAAAAATAATAATGTATTAACATTTAATTATTAGGCCAAATATCGCAAATTACTGGTACAAAATCATATAGAGGCATATGAAATTTCTCAAGAATTTGAGACTCCTATTGTTCCATTAAATATCTGGAATGCAATTGAATGTTGTGCAAAATCTTGGAAAGGTGTAAGTTCCGAAACAATTCAAAATTGTTGGAAAAAAACCCAAATAATCCCACCATCGTCACAAGATAGTCATATTGTAGAAACTGTTCAAGATAATTTTGAAGAAGAATCATCACAACTGGAACATCTAATTGACAAATTACCATTTGACGATCCTATTATGGCAATTGATTATATTATGATTGACAATGAAGTGGTTGAAGAAGAAACAGTAATGGAAGATGAAGAAATCATAGCTACAGTCACATTGACATCTAACAATGGTAATCAAGAGGAAGAAATAGAAACTCCTGTAGTTACTTTAACTGAAGCATTGAGAGGTACTGAAGCACTTCTTAATTTTGTAACTTACCCACCAGAAAAATTTGAAATTTCAACAAAGCAAATTTCTAGTATTTGTTCTGTTAGAAGTAGCATTTTATTATATAAAAGTTCACTAGTGCATCAATGTAGTATAGATGAATATGTAAACTTTGATGTATAATTTTTTAAACCGAATTTTTTTTTTAAAATATATTAACTTTGTCTTATCAAAGATTACTTGATAAAATGAATATTTGATAAAACAATGTTTTGAGCCCAAAACAAGTACATTGGTTTAACAAGTTCTGACTGTATTATGAAAATATAATATCAAATTTTGAAAATTTTATATTAATTTTCCACTTCTACTCTTATAAGCAAGGCCCTAAAGTATTAATATAAAATTATTAATTAACTGGTTGATTGATTGTTCTTTCTACTCTATCAGGTTTTAATTTGTTACACTTTGGTGTAATATGGTTTCTGGCATCACTAAATAACCATTCTGCAGGAACAGACATTGTAAATATACCAAGATATTTTCTAGCTAATTTTGCTAATAGTGGAAAATTTTCCTTGTTTTCTTTCCACCATATTAGTGGA